CCTACCCGTCGGCGACTCGGGTCCGGGGTGGGCGATCGACCACTGGCCGAACCTACCTCTCAGTATGATGGGAAAAGTAGATCACTGCTCCGACGGAGTCGCTGTCGACCATCCAAGACAAGAGAGTGAAAAGTGCAGGGAAGCAAATACGAGAGATCAATGGCAGTAAAAGACTGACTAGGTGAATGAAAATAAGTATATGTTCCTGTATTGAAGATGGAAAGGTCGTGATCCGAGAGCATACGCTCTATGGAACGACCCCTCCCATTAATTCGAGCACCACCTTATTTATAGATCACCATAGATCATTTTCCAGACGGTTCTGCTATGATTAGTGTCTGGCGAAAAGCTTCAGCAGATATTTCCCTTGCAACATCTCAACCAACAATTGGTCCAGTTATCAACGCTATATCAAGCTTTGAACAACTCGACTTTCAAGATCTACGTATCTACATGAGCCGATGTTTCCGTTTATCAACGTTATATTTTAAGATCTGTACAAGAACTCAGCTAACAGATGTTTCCACATATAAAAGCTATCTTCAAGTTTTGTACACCAAAAAACTTTTCAAATAGCATTACCAATAGGAAATATTATTGAAGAAATGTAAGAAATGTTTCCAAGTAATTTTATGAAAACTATTCATCACCTCTAGTTTTCTAGCTATGATATACTTATTCAAATATTTTTTATATATATAGTGAAAATAACAACTTTTTCTTTAATAATTTTATTTATTCATTGAAAACTGTATTTAAGAGTGTATAATCTGCATACTTTGATAAGTTTCTTTCATGTTCACAACATGTCCAACAGGAATTGCTAGGTCTGTGTTCCCATTCTGCAAAAGTTTAGCTTTCAGACTAACTTTAGACGAGTCGATAAAAAGTCTCCATTCTTGAGTCTGATGTTCAGTACCTAATTCTTTCATTAATACATCAACATTTATGTCACGAATCAGATCATTTAAGTGTTTTTGTGTGATCAGATGAGGTAGTTTATGTTGAGGTGCCACAGGAATAGAGTTACTAGATGAAGAGGATGAAGATGATTCATTTTCTTCTTCCCAGGATAACTCTTCTGTTTCCCAATTCGCTGGTGGATGTGGCACTGGAAGACCATCCCCATGGTTTCATCACAGATGCAATATCGGGATATTTAATGTTTTACTTAGTTTTGCCTGAATATTCAGAAAGATTAATCATTTAAAAATAACAGTTAGTTACATGATCTTTGAGCTCACGTTATTTCATGGGAACTGCAAATGGCACAGTTGCTCTCTTCTTACTCAGCCACTTTGTCAAGTCAGATGTGCAAACTGTGCAATACATATGTGGAGCTCAATGTTTTTTTGGTTGTTTGTTTGTTTTTCTTGGTCACCAATCTTACACAAAGAATAGTGGTAGTAAGCCACCTTTATCTTGTGTGTGATGTTTTTTCCTTTGTAAAACTGTAATATATCTTCTACAAAGTTAGTATGAAGTGTTTGGGTGGTTTTTACTAGGAGTGGAGACAGTCAGCATTTCAAATGATTTTCTAGAAAATATGAAATAATTTACGTTTACAGAACTAGAGTTTAAAAGATTAAAAAACAAAGTTTTGCGGAATTTGATTATATCGCGGGTATGATGTGAGGAAGAAGATCGGACTTTGTTTTGAATGTGTGTGGAACGAGGCTAAGTGACCAACTGCGTGAGTGAGAGGCGTCTGACTTCACCCCACATATTCTCAGTCGAGCGACTTCTCGAATGTTCTAGCAAACTGAGCACGTGAGAGTTTCGTGATTCCCTGGCAGAGAAATTGAGCGTGGGAATGAAACAGAAGTGGTGCAATCCACTACAATCAGATCGATAACAACGGAAATATATAAGCAATACATTTGGAATATTACACCAATAGAGTCAATGTTTGAAGTTGTCAAAAATGTATGTCTTTTACCCATTAAACTGTCCAAGTAAATTCAATTTCACAGCATAAATCTATTGTACTGAGTTGATTGAATGGTATTTCACATAGTGCTGATAAGATATTGATATGTTACAATAACTCAAAATCTAGAGGAGGTGGCCAAATTCCGACTCCATTTTTGAAATCAGCACCATCAAGTTAACCCTAATCACTTTAGTTTTCACCAGTAGCAAATTATTTGTTATCCAGTGTAATCAGATACATCAATAAAACTGAAAACTAAGTAAAACCTAACTCACTATAAGCTTGTTAATAAGGTCAATAGGTACGGGTCGTCCATTCGTTCTGGCTATTCTGGTCAAAATTATTGCTGCTTCTTCATAACGTTTAACAGACACCAACCAGCGAGGGGATTCAGGCAAAAACCTGAAGAGAAGAAAGCCACAATATTATTTACTAAATTAACAGAGACTTGTAAGAAAAAAAACCTATAATATTAACTTTATTTTAAAGAATTTTGATTTGTTTTTTTTAAGAGAATCAGTTGACAAATCATTGAGAACTTAGCTCAGTATCATTTCACCAAATGATATGTATGTAAACTTAATGAGATAGAAATTAACAAATAAATAAATAAAAACAGCACCTTAATAAATTCATGTTTAAACCATCATTGAATAAAACAAAATAGCTTATCTAGAATTACATTTTATAATTTTACGGACGTACATAAAATTAATTAGTGTTATTTTGTCTTACATTACAAATTACTTTTAATCCAAAGTTTTGCTTTTCCACAGTTAAGATTGTTTTCTTCTTCACTGGTATTCGGTCCATGTTATGGACCAGGGAGGGTCAGGTTCAGCGTAGATCTCTTCCTCTGGAATTGTTATTTTGTTTGCACTGTTACTGAATCCTAGGTAATAATCCTTGTTACTTTGTTGTTGCATTACTCACAGTGTGTTCAATTTTCTCCATTGTCCACAGTTTTAATTAACATACTATTTTCGTGCCACGTCCAATTCATGGGCCTCAATTTATCATAAATATTTATAAAAAAAGTAAAATCCAATATACAAAACATAAATAGTAGAGCATATAACTGTTAATTTTGAATAAAATACCTTTAAGTAACTTGTGTGGAAAACTAGAATATTTGTCTTATATTCAAATAATTGTGGCGTTTGTTTGTTTGTTTTTCGAAACGCGCTCATAGTTACTCGAGGGCTATCTGCGCTAGCCATCCTTAATTTAAAAGTGATAGACTAGAGAGAAGGCAGCTAGTCAAGACCACCCACCGCTAACTCTTGGGCTACTCTTTTACCAACGAAAAATGGGATTGACCGTTACTTTATAACTCCCACACGGCTTGATGGACGAACACGTTCAGTGATGGGTTTGTTTGTTTGTTTGTAAGTAAGCACAGAGCTACACAATAGGCTATTTTATAAATAAGAACACTGATGTCACTAAGAAATGTTTGTTATTTGTCGCTACAATCTTGGGACCTACTATGTCCTGAAATCTCATCACTGAGCCCCCCCCCCCCCCAGTGGCACAGCGGTATATCTGCAGACTTACAACAATAGAATCCGGGTTTCGATACCCATGGTGGCCAGAGCACAGCCTAAACATGCCAACCTGCTCGTTGTTTTAAACTAAATTCCTCCAAACTTTGACCAATAACGTTAGTTCACTTACGTTATCTGTCCTCATATGACCAATAATATTAATTTACTTAAGTTATCCGTCCTCATGTGACCAATAATGTTAGTTCACTTAAGTTATCTGTCCTCATGTGAACAATAATATTAGTTCACTTAAGTTATTTGTCCTCATGTGCCCTATAATATTAGTTCACTTAGGTTATCTGTTTTCATGTGACCAATAATATTAGTTCACTTAAGTTATCTGTCCTCGGCTTTCATTGTAACTAACAATAATTACTAATCAAAACAAACTACTTACATATAACTAATTAAATGTTCCGGTGTAACTGGGAGTATATAACTAATTAAATGTTCCGGTGTAACTGAGAGTATATAACTAATTAAATGTTCTGGTGTAACTGGGTGTATATAACTTATGAAATGTTCTGGTGTACCTGGGAGTATATAACTAATCAAATGGTCTGGTGTAACTGGGAGTATATAACTTATGAAATGTTCTGGTGTAACTGGGAGTATATAACTAATTAAATGTTCTGGTGTAACTGGGAGTATATAATTAATTAAATGTTCTGGTGTAACTGGGAGTACATAAATAATTAAATGTTCTGGTGTAACTGGGAGTATATAACTAATCAAATGTTCCGGTGTAACTGGGAGTATATAACTAATTAAATGTTCCGGTGTAACTGGGAGTATATAACTAATTAAATGTTCTGGTGTAACTGGGAGTATATAACTAATTAAATGTTCTGGTGTAACTGGGAGTATATAACTAATTAAATGTTCTGGTGTAACTGGGAGTATATAAC